AATGAACATAGGAGTAGATCATCCAAGTTTAAAAATTTTGAAGAGAGAGACACAGACAGACATTGGTCCTGCTGTTTGGTAAAAAATTGGCCTATAGGCCAATTTTTGGCTTATTTGACCACTATTAATTGTTTGAGTTAGTTAAAATATCAATATAAATGTTTGGTTAATTAGTTTTTTACAACTCCAAAAGGCTAAAAGTCAAAAAGCTACTCCAAGCAACTTTTTCAATTAGCTTTTTGAGAAAAGAAATTATACCAAACAGCTATCAACTAACAACTAATTTACCAAACACTTTTCTACAATCAGCTAATGTTATCAACTATTAATACCCTCTAATTAACACAATTAGCTAACAACTAACAGCTATCAGCTAATAGCCATTTTACCAAACAGAGCCATTATCACTTTGCCTCTCACCCCCACTCTAACTTCACAGAAAATTCTTGTGTTTTCCCTCTCAGGTTTCAAAATCTACCAGATGAGATAGAGATGGAGAGAGATTGAGATAGGTTAATACAAGATGATCTACAGCCCTATCCTGAAAATGGAGGAGCAGATGAGCGTTGAGAGAGAGAGAGAGAGAGAGAGATTCTCTTTGTGACAAACATTATTAGTGAATGCTAAAACTAATGGGACGCCGTTTCAAATTGGAACAGACCAGCAGATGCAGACGTTGGAGAATAAAAAAGAAATATGAAATTATGTTTTTGTCTTTAAATTTAAGGTTTCATGAATGGAATTTCAACGGAGTAAGATTTTAATAGTTGAGGACTTAATTTAGTAAGGATTATAGTCGAGGATCAAATCAGTAGTTTTGCAATAATCGGAGAACCAAATCGGTTATTAACTCTGTTTATAATATTGTAATGATTTATACTCAAAATATAGTATGACTTTACTAAATTAAAAATATTGTTAATTTGGTATCACTTTATAATTAGGTATAATAATTTTATTTTATCAAAATTAACAATGTAATAATATTTGACTATTAATTCAGAGACCCTATCAATATCAAATTTGGGGAGTTTCGAATTGTGTTAGTCCATTTTCTACGGTGTTCTTTTACATTTTACCGTAATAGTCAAAACTATTCATTATGACTCAATTTCTTCGCAATATTTTTTTTTAAATTTATTAGAGTGATCACTATTAGTTCAAGAGGTTTATTTATTTTGCTAGCAAAGTAGGATCAACGACGAGCAATACGAATACCATTTTTCAAATAATGGTAGTTATTCATTTCTTATGGACTAAAAATCTTAGTAATGCATATTAATATTTGAATTAAATTTATTTTTGGTCTCACGATTTTTTAGGTTCTATCACTTTTGGTGTACAATTTTAAATTTTTTCAATTATGATGTCTAACTTTGTTATTTTATCAGTTTTGTTCCTTCCGATCAAATTTATTGCGAAATGTTATCGAATGTTATATTTTAGGGGTAAAATCGTCATCCTAAAGAAAGATCTTCAATATCTAAATAAAAACATGGGAAAATGGCACTTTTTCCCCCTGAGTTATATACTTATATCACTTTTTCCCCCTCAATTATTCAAGTGGCTGTTTTCCCCCTAAAATGTTAAATGGACATATTTACCCTTAAAATAAATATTTTATTTATTTTTCTTCTCCAACAAATTATGACCATAATTTGGTTCAAACCAAATAAACACTATAGCAACCAAACCGAAATATTCCAATTACAATTTAGAATCGAAAATCGATATTTAGAGTTTATTAAAATCCCGGAATGGACGGTTCATGTTCCGAACTGAAAAAATAAAATACATTTATTGTTGAATTTAGATTATTTTTAAAATAAAAATGGTTCAAAATCGCGAATCGGGTCCGGAACCGCTGGTTCACGGTTCAGGATCCAATTTCTTTGATTCATAATTTTAATAAATTGAAATCCAAATATTGGGTTCTAGATCTGAATCATAACCGAAAATTTTTAATTCGATTGCTATAGTGTCCGATTCAGTTCGAACCGAATCGTGGTCATCCCTACGTATACGCAATAATTTGTTGGAGAAGTAAAATAAATAAAATGTTTATTTTAAGGGTATAAATGTCAATTTAATATATTAGGGGGAAAAACCACCACTTTTAGAATAATTGAAGGGGCTAATGTGCTTACCTAAATAAATGAGGGGGAAAAAGTGCTATAAGTATATAACTCAGTGGAAAAAAGTGCCATTTTCCCTAAAAACATTGTAAATCAGATCTATGGGTGTTTGGTCGATGAGAATAATGGAGAAGACATAGGGGTGGGCTAGTTTGGTTTTCCCGAATCATACCGAACTGAACTAGTAATATACTGAATAACCGAACAATTTGGGATTCTTGTAAACTGAATGGTTCGGTTAAAAGCCAAACCGAATATCTTTTGATAAAAATAATAATAATAATAATAATAATAATAATAATAATAATAATAATAATAATAATAATAATAATAATAATAAGAACAACAACAACAACAACAACAACAACAACAACAACAACAATAATAATAATAATAATAATAATAATAATAATAATAATAAATCCAAGTCCCTTGATGCCTGCTCCGTCGTTCATTTCCTATTCTCACTAGTATCTCTTGTAATTTTTTTTTATTTGATTTCTTTATGGCTTATTCTCTACTTTGCACTTTTGTTGTTTGCTGCAATTGTTCTTTACCTCACAATTATATCTAACTTAAGTTATTCTTACAATATTCAACAGTTTCATGTTTCTATGAAATTAAAGTGCTTTAACATCATTCTAATTTTGATTTTCAGTGCACATGAATTATTTTCTAGTACAGGAATATATTTTCAATGCACAGGAAAATAATATTTTAGTGCACTAGCAATGATGTATTGTGTGCAAAAATTAACTATACAGTAATTGACACTTGTTCTTCAAATATTAACTATACAAATAGATGATTATTCATCTTGTCAATAAAATATTCCAAATGAGCCAATTGAAGAGTCGGTTGTGTAAAAAAACTAATTGATATTTGGTAATAAATTCCTAATAGTGTGTTTGAACTTTGGATTGATATTTTGTTATATAATGTTTTAGACTTTGGATTTGAACTATGTGAATATGTAGCGTTTGGTAGAGTGTTTGTAAAATTAGTAAATATTAAAAGAGTTAATACCCATTTTGGTCCCTCGACTATTAGGTAATGCGTAATTTAGCCCCAAGCTATTAAAAGTACTCAATTTAGTCCTCTAACTTGTAAAATCATACCCAATTTGATCCTCTGTTACGATTTCCATCCATCCACCGTTATAGAGAGGGGCAAAAGCATCATTTATCATAGTCGAGTGACCAAAATAGGTATTAACTATTAATATCTAATAGTCGAGTGACCAAAATTATTATTATTATTATATTTGATATTGGGGCAATTCTTTCCTCCATTTTTGAATGCTACTAGCTCTATTACATTGTAGTATCTGTTCATATACTTTCTCAATCTATTAAAACACAAAGAGCTAATAACGCATCCCCTGAGGCTTGAACTCACAACCTTCCAAATGGAAATCCAACCTAGGTACCATTGGACCACATAGTCCTGGTGAGTATTTTTAAGCTAAAGTTTTAAATCCAAAAAATAATACCTATAATAATAAATCTAATTAAAATAATATAATACATATAATAATGATAAATCCATAAAAAAATATACAAAAATAATACCATAAAAACATTACAATTTTATAAAAATTTTACATATTATATATATATATATATATATATATATATATATATATATATATATATATATATATATATATATAATTTCGGTTAACTAACAACTTCAAACCGAATTAACCGTTAAAAACGGTTAACCGAACTTTGTCGATTTGATCGGTTAATTAAAAATTTATCAAAGTTTACACACTCCCTAATCCCTAATCAAGACAAGCTTGTGGATCTTACGTGCTTTCACAATATTTCTTTCAAACAACTCAAGCCCGTCCAAGAGCACAATAATTCCACTACAAATCAAAGCATCAAAAGATATCATTATATTCCGAAAGGACTAAAGAGTGGTCAAGTGAGTGAAGCATTATTTGAAGATCATTATAGAGTTCAATTTTTGTCAGGACTCTCTTGATTTTTGTGCATATATAAAATAATGATTGTGAATTTTTCTCGTCATAAAAAAAAAAAAAAAAAAAAAAAAAAAAAAAAAAAAAAAAAGAAGACATCTTGATAGCGGATCGATCGAGTAGTAGTAGTAGTAGTAGTAGTAGTAGTAGTAGTAGTTAACACCCATTTTGGTCCCTCGACTATGATAAAAAGACGTTTTTGCCACTCTCTATAACAGTATATAGATGAAAATTGTTACTGAGGACCAAATTGGGTATGATTTTACAGGTTAGAGGAATAAATTGGATACTTTTAATAGTTTATGATTAAATTGCGCATTACCTAATAGTCGAGGGGCCAAAATGGATATTAACTCATATTAAAATTTGAGATTCTTAAACTGAACCAAACCAATTTAGAATCGAAACCAAATTTATTCAAATCGAATCGAAACCGAATCGAACTATAATGTTAAATCAAATGATTTCATTTTTTTAATACATAATACCGAAACAAAAATAAAACAAAAAACCTGAATAGAACCCCCAAATGCCCATCCCTAGGAAGACGAACAAAAACTAGACACATATTTATGTGATTTATAGGGTCAACGATTGACAAACCCTCCCTTTTCTCTTAATATGATTTTTTTCCTTTTATTTAGATTTTGAAGATCTTTCATTGAGATGACGATTTTGCCCCTAAAAATATAAAATTCGGTAATATTTCATTGTCAATTTAGTCGGAAGGATAAAATTGATAAATATAACAAAGTTAGATACTAAAATTAAAAAGAAATTAAAGTCATGCACCAAAAATTTAAAAGATTTCAAAAGTTGTGGGAGCAAAAGTGAAATTAATTAAAAGAAAATCAAAGGAGCAGAGTTAGTTGGAGTGTTTAGTCTATCGGTCTTCTGCTGACCCATTGTGGACTGCTGAACGGCGATCAAACCAACTATGGCGAGGCCGTCGGCGATTCTCTCTCTGCTGATCTTCCCAACTCTCTTTCTCTTGGCTGAATCGAGCAGCGACACGAACCACGTGTTCTCGCCGTGCGCCGATACGACGGTACAGAAGTCCGACGGCTTCACCTTCGGAATCGTATTCGCGGCGAGGAACGCTACCTTCATCAACGACAGCAAAAACAAAGATGTCCAGCTGTCTCCCTGCGACCGCCGCCTCTCCCTCAACAACGCTCAGCTCGCTGTCTTCCGACCTAAAGTCGACGAGATCTCGCTTCTCACCGTCAACACCTCCAGCTTCTTCCCGGTAACCATTCCCCTTCCCTCAAACATTGTATTTCTATGTTTTTGTTTGTGTATTGTTTCATTGGTGATGAGAATTTTAGGTTTAGTCATACTTTACTGGGATAATTGGAGGAATGTGGTTAGAACTGCAAAGGTCTGTTTATCTGGATTCTTTATTAGGGCAATAGTAGATGGATAGGGAATAAAATTGTTCTTTGTCGCTTCGTTCCTAATTACTTGGTCCAAATTGAAAATATAGGCAGTTGATTGAGAGATACTGTAATGCACCACAATTGTTGCAGGAAAAAAGAGAGAATTGAGAGAAGAAGAGAGAGTTGAGAGGAGAAAGTGAAATGAGAGTTATTTATCCAAGAATATCTGTTTCAATTGTTTCCCTACAATATATAGTCCCCAAGATGCTAGCTAACAGCTCCCAAAATACCCTTCAACCCACCCCCTCACAATCTGGAATCACAACTCAGAAAACAACTTAACAAACTAACAGAAATTATGCACTCATCTTTCTGGATATATGGTTTGACCATAATCAATCATGTAGTTGCATTAGTAGTAGGATGCTACAAATAGCTTTCTAATGCTTGCATTTTATGCTACTTGGGCTTCAATATCTGTGCTGGGTATATGCGTGATACACTGATACCGGGTGGAATACTTGTTCGGAAACAAGAAACCTCAAAACTTTAGTTTCAACCTAATCTTATACTACCATTTTACTTCTCCCACTGATGTGGGACTACAGGGTGTTACAGTGAGCCTGGGATTGGCATTAAGGGTGGGATCAAAGTTGGAATTGAAATAACAATCCAATGTTTTGTTGAGCTAGCCTTAGTTACAGCCTTTAGGTTTAACTTTATATTATACTTCAATTTTACTTCTCCCACCAATGTGGGACTATGGGGTGTTACAGTGAGCCTGAGGTGGGATTAAGAGTGGTAGAAAAGATGAAATTGAAATAGCAATCCAATGTTTTCTTGGGGTAACTAGGGACGGGATAAAATATTGTAATAGCAATGAGGGAAGTTCAATGAAATTTGACAAGTTTACCGTGATCCAATTTTTCATGTACGATATGTTGATATGCACCTAGTAATCTAGTATACCCTGCTATGTTAGCAATTCTGGTTTGAAAAGGAGCTGAAGAATACAATCCAATTTACAGAATATATTCAAGAAGAAAAACTACATGGTATAGTTCATGTAGTTGCCTTGAATAAAAAGTGGAATGTTAGTGCTGAAATTGCAAATAATTTTGAAGTTTGACACTGCAGTGAAAAAGGTTGACTTACATAGAGTTCAACGATAAACCCCAAAAGTTGAATAATGAATTTCTAAGCTTATTAAAAACTCACTTATCCTGCAACAGGAACGACATTTACAAGAAAGAAATTGCATTGTTTTACAGTAACCCACCATTCTTCTATCTAAATTCTTCGGCTATCTCTGTCCACTTTGTCTCATGATGCTATTTTGATGTCTCTTTCACTCATACTTCGATTTCAAATAAAACTTTTTTTCGTATTACTTACACCTTGCAACAGGACTCTGTTGGAGGGTATATGGTGGCATTTGCTGGTAGGAAATATGCTGCTAGGTCTCCCCCAGCTTTTGTTGCTAACGGGAGTTACATCGTGTCAAGCTTTACCCTGGTAATAAGAAAAAACATTCTGCAAATTTATCACAATGTTCATTAATTTCCGCATTTATTTAATGAAACTGATGAGATCTTTATGATACAGGTTTTTGAATTCAAAAAGGGCAGACTGCAAAACCTGTACTGGAAGAGGGATGGGTGTGCATCGTGCAAAGGCAGCTCAGGCTTCACATGCCTCAATGGTCAAGATTGTGCTATGAAGACCAATTCCTGCAAGAACCGAGGTGGGAATGTAGACTGTAGCCTTGGAATACAACTGACATTCTCCGGCACTGATAAGCACGAGTCGGTTTTCAACTCGTGGTATGAAGTGAAGAACCTCCGGCAGTACTCCCTTTATAGCGTCTATTCTAATCTCAAGGATTCCCTCACCAGTCAGTACAACAAATTCTTCTAATCTGTGTTTTATTCCCACATGTGGATAGAATCGGTGAACAAATTCTTAAACATCCTTCATTATTTCTATACACTCTGGTCCTTCGTTTGTATGCAAAAATATGTAAATCTCTTACTTTCTTCAAACTATTAAACCTCTGTGTGGATTGTGGAAAGATGTTTTTTTCCTCTCTCTATCTCTCTCTCTCTCTCTCTCAATGTTATTTCTTATGTGGTTCATGTTTTGACCATGCAATGAGGGGAAGGTGCTGCCAGATTAGCTGCAACTTGGTGAAACTGTATTCCTATATACAAACTTCTCGCTGTTTCTCTATAGTTCCATCATCTCCACTTCTCAGCCCTGAGAGTGTTCATGTTTTTCCCCGAAACAGGCGAACCCAAAGTCACCAGCTGAGCCAACTCTTACTCTCACCACCCCAGGGAGCAGATCCTAGACTGTACAACAAAATAGTCCACGGTAAAGTGATTCTTTTGGGGTTCGAATCGAGCATTTTCCTCAACAACGTTTTCATTAATGCCTACTCAAAATCGGGCTGTTTGGACTATGCACGCCTTGTGTTTGATTCAATGCCGCAAAGGAATTTGATCACTTGGGCTTCGGTGATTTCTATGTATTTCCATCGAGGGTTTTACGAAGAAGCCTTGTTGATGTTTGTGGAGTTCTGTAGATGTTCTGATGAGGGCCCTAACGAGTTTGTTTTGGCTAGTGTCATTCACTGTTGCGCAAGGTTGGGTGGTGCGGGAAGGGGTGTTGAGTTGCATGGATCTGTTCTCAAGAACGGTTTCTATCATCACGTCAACGTGGGCACTGCCTTGGTTGATTTCTATTCTAAACGCAGCGACATAGGTGCTGCAAGATTGATGTTTGATGATTTACCAGTGAAGAACACAGCTGCTTGGACGACTATTATTACAGCATCTGCAAGAAGCGGAAAGAGTGAGGTTACATTGCAGTTGTTTTTCCAGATGAGGAAGATCGGTCTCGTCCCAGACAAGTACGCAATTACATGTGCCTTAACTGCTTGTTCATCACTCGGGTATTTTGAAGCTGGGAAGCAAATTCATGCCTATGTGCTCCGGTGGGGAGAAGGGATGGATGATGCTTCAGTTAGTAATGCGCTTATTGATTTCTATATGAAATCCGGTAAAGTTAAGAGTGGTTGGGCATTATTTGATCAACTCGACACCAAGAATGTTATCTCTTGGACTACAATTATATCTGGGTACATGCAAAATTCTTTCGATTGGCAAGCCATCGAGCAGTTTGGGAACATGAACCGGTTAGGTTGGAAACCCGATGGCTTTACTTGCTGCAGTGTACTTATTTCTTGTGGTTCTTGTGAGGCTTTAGACCAGGGAAGACAAGTACATGCATATACCCTAAAAGCTAACCTCAATACCGATGACTATGTTCTAAGCAGCTTGATTGGTATGTATTCTAAATGCGATTCGCTAGTTGATGCACAGAAGGCTTTTGATTCTATGGAGAGAAGTGATGTAATCGCGTATAATGCAATGATCGAGGGGTACTATAGAAGGGATATGCTGTATGAAGCGTTAGATCTTTTTGCTGAAATGAGAATCAACTCGATCCACCCAAGTCTTTTGTCTTTTGTTACCCTGCTGGGCGTATCGGCTTCCCTGCTTAGCCTGGTTTTGAGCAGGCAACTTCATGGTCTCATCACGAAATCCGGATTCTCTAGGGAATTGTTTGCAGGAAGCAGCGTTATAAATGCTTACTCACAATTCTCTTCTTCGGTTGATGATGCGAGGCGAGTATTTGAGGAGATGGACGGGGAAGATATTGTGGTTTGGAACACGATGCTGTTTGGGTATGTACAACATTCGCGAATCGCAGAGGCTCTGAGGCTCTTCTTGGAATTACAGGATTCTTCGGGGCTAAAGCTAAAGCCAAATGCTGTCACGTTCATTGCCCTTCTTACAGGATCCGGTAACCTAGCGAGTCTCCCCCACGGGCTGCAATTTCACAACCAGATCATAAAGGCGGGCCTAGATTCAGACCCGTTTCTTGGAAATGCTCTGGTGGATATGTATGCCAACTGTGGAAGCTCGGGTGATGCACTGAAGGCGTTCGATTCTATTACCCAGAGAGACGTGGCTTGCTGGAATTCCATGATATCTATGTATGCCCAGCATGGAGAAGCCCGGGATGCTCTCTGTATGTTCGATAGAATGATTAACGAAGGCATCAGACCCAACGGGGTCTCATTCATTGGGGTGCTTTCAGCATGTAGCCATTCCGGGCTGGTAGAAGAAGGCTTCTCCTACTTCAATTCTCTGTCCCGGTTTGGCATTGAGCCAGAAAAAGAACATTACGGTTGCATGGTTTCACTGTTGGCCCGAGCCGGTGAATTGCGTGAAGCAGTGGATTTGATTGGGAGAATGGCAACTCAACCAGAAGCCACAGTGTGGGGAAGCCTGGTGAGTGCATGTAGAGCTGGGGAGAATATTGAACTGGGAAAATATGCAGCAGAAATGGCTATCTCTTTGGATCCAAAGGATAGTGGGTCATACATCTTACTCTCAAATCTTTTTGCTTCTAAATGTATGTGGAGTGATGCCAAAAGGGTGAGGGAGAGAATGGAAAAAAATGGAGTGGTGAAAGAAAGAGGATATAGTTGGATTGAGATCAAGAATGATGTGCATTTCTTTATTTCAAGAGATGGAAGCCACCCTCAAACTCATGCCATATACACTCTTCTTGGATTTCTGATTCTGCAGATGAAAGGGCTGGCTTATGTGCCTCATGACTGATGAGTAATTCCATTATGCTCCCTTGTATGTACCTGCAGTCTCCAGATTCTCCCCTATATAATCTTCGACTATTGATCTTCTCTGGATTTCCAACCGGCCTGTTAATGAAAATCACCGACCATGGTCCACGTTACAAGGTCGTTATCTACTACTCTCTTTGTCCCAATTTATTTATCTTATTTATTATTCATTGGTCAAAATTAACTCTTTTATTTTCACTAATTTTCATTACGATTTTGGAGTATTTTTTTATAATTATTTTTTATTTAACGGTACTTTTAATGTAGTTTCTAAATATCTGTATTGCAAATATCTCGCTTAGGCACCGATTAGGCGCTGGCCTGCTGCCTAGCGTATCACCATAATCGATGGTTAGGCAGCCGACTAGACTGCCTAGGCGCTGACCGTCTAGCCTCTTACGTACCAACTAGACCGTCTAGACACCGACTAGGTCGCTTAGTTGGCCGATTAGCTATTGTAACCTTATTTTTTAAATGAATTATTTCACTCAAAATGACATCGTTTTGAGCGAAATAACCTTAAATTGTTCAAATTCTAGATGCTTTTTTAGGTTAATATTTAATATTTTAGTATTAACTATTAAATAGTTTATAATTATCATGTCTTAAACAATTAAAAAAATTTAAACAAATTTTTAAAACTAAAAAATAAAATAAAAAATGCATGAGCGCCTAGGCGCCCCCGAGCGCTCGAGGAGCGTTTAGCGATTTTTTCAACTATGCTAAATATATAAATTTTACATATTAATTCTAAATTTAATATTTTATATAAATTATAAATAACTTCAATCAAGTCTCGTAAATCAAACTCGACACATAAAATGAACGGAGTGAGTAATATATATGTCTATTTTTAATATATTAGTTGCAACTTGGAAGTAAATTTCTAATATAAGTATAGCGAAAATGAACTTGTGTAGTACACTAAAAATGAGCCTAATAGATATCTGCAAGGGTATAAATTATTTAACAATTTAACACACAGAAAATGCTATTAATATATTTTTCTATTACATTTTAAATTGTGTCTAAGAAAATGTTAAAAAAAAAAAAAAAAAAAAAAAAAAAAAAAAAAAAAAAAAAAAAAAAAAAAAACTAAAGGGGAAAAGGAAAAAAATAATTCTCGGGCGTAAGAAAATAAAATAGAATAACTCTAAATTGGTCTATCCAAATACCATCCCACTTATCCGACCTTATCTTTCTTTCCCGTCGTGGAAATCAAATTTTCACCGATCAATTCTGCAAAATTCTTTGCTCAACAATGTTAAATTCTTCCCCGTTAATGGCAGCTACCACCGCCACAACCGCCGTAGCTTTCACCACCACTTCATCATTACCATCTTCACTTCCTCTCTACACTAATCTTCCATTGGACCACCACCAGCTCCACTTTTCTCTCACTACTCCCCTTCACTTCCCCTCCAAACCCAAGCCCTTTAAACACCCAAAACTCACTGCCTATTTCTCCAATCTCCATGCCCTCACTCGCACTGCCACCTTCTGTGCTTCAGCTGACAGCATTGAGGCCATCGAAGAAGATACCCAAGTGGTAGAAGCTGCAGAACAGGAAGAGGAGGAAACTGATGAAGTTGAAAAAGAAGAAGAAGAAGATGATGATAATGATGGTGATAATGGAAGTGTTGAGTCTCAATCAGCTGAAGCCGGGAGATTATTTGTTGGGAATTTGCCTTTCTCACTAACTTCTTCTCAGTTGTCTGAAATCTTCTCCGAAGCTGGCCGTGTTAGTAAAGTGGAGGTCTGTTCTTGAGCTCTCTTTTCTTGATTTTTTATGCCAAAACAAAAAAAAGAAATAAAGATTCTTAATAATGAAGTGGAATAATAAATGCTGACAATTTGTGGGATTCTTGTGCTGTGGATGTTTAGCTATTGCTAGTGTAAAGATTGTATTTTTATGTCTGTGATATTTTGACCTTGTAAAATGAATGAATTTCTAGGTTGTTTATGATAGAGTTACTGGTAGAAGTCGAGGATTTGCATTTATTACAATGGGAAGTGTTGAAGAAGCAACTGAGGCTATCCGGATGTTTGATGGATCTGTAAGTCTTGAACAAATGTTTTGGCTGCTAGACTGCATTCATTTTATCTTCTTCTTGGTTTCATACATTAGAATGCATATGCCTCTGAAAATCATCAATCCTGAAAGGCAAAGATTGCTCTATCTTCTGCCTATGTAGTCTTTCTGCAACTAATGTAGCTACAGCTACAAATACTAGTAAATGTTAGCAGACAAGGGAGTAACCCTGGCCAAGTTGGTCGGGTTGTTAGCTTGGTATTCAAAAGGTTTCGAGTTCAACCGCCTAGGCTGGTTTACCTCATTGTAGTCGTTTGCCAGCTAGAGTCACAAGGCGGGGTTTAAACAAAAAATGTTAGAGCCAAGGGGTAACCCCAGCCAAGTTGATCGGGTTGTTAGCTTGGTATTCACAAGGTTTCAAGTTCAACTGCGTAGGCTAGTTTACCTCCTTGTTAGTCACAAGGCGGGGTTTAAGCAAAAAATGTTAGAGCCAACGGGTAACCCCAGCCAAGTTGGTCGGGTTGTTAGCTTGATAACCACAAGGTTTCAAGTTCGACTGCCTAGGTTTGCCAGCAAAAATCACAAGGTGGGGTTTAAAAGAAAAATGTTAGAGCCAAGGCATAACTCCAGCCAAGTTGGGGGGTTGTTAGCTTGGTAACTACAAGGTTTCAAGTTTGACCACCTAAGCTTGTTTACCTCCTTGTGGTCCTTTGCCAGCCAGGGTCACAAGACGGGGATTAAATAAAAAAGTTTGCAGCCAAAACACCTTGGTGCCCTCATGTTCTTCATGTCAATGGAATTAATTTTTGCCAAGCTTCAATATGCTTTTAAAGTTTTAATGCGTAGATTCCCCCGAGCTTTGGTTTAATTTCTGTTCCTCATGCTATATGCTTTTAATGGCAAACAGCTAGTTGGGGGGAGAACAGCGAAGGTGAACTTCCCCGAGGTGCCAAGAGGAGGAGAAAGGGAAGTAATAGCCTCACGGGCGAGGAGCAGTTCTCCAGAAAATTTTAACAGTCCTCACAGATTATATGCATCGAACCTCTCCTGGAACCTCACTTCTCAAGGCCTACGAGAGGCTTTTGCAGACCAGCCGGGAGTCTTGAATGCAAAGATCATATATGACAAGGAGACTGGGAGGTCTCGTGGGTTCGGGTTTGTCTCTTTTGCTTCTGCTGGAGAGCTGGAATCTGCCCTTAGTGCCATGGATGGAGTGGTAAAGTTTACTAAATACCTAACCATTTATTCTGTTGAAGTAGAAAGGAAATCATTGTTATTTATCTTCTCTTTATAACACATTTTAGGAGGTGGAAGGTCGGCCATTGCGATTGAAAATTGCCATTCAAAAACTGCCTAATTCTTCACCCGCTGCTGTTGACACGAATCCTGTAAAAGAACTGCAGAGTAGTGAACTTCTTTCAAGCGCGAACTCCCAGAAAGAGGAAGAAGTTGCATAATCGAAATGAACATTCCTATATTCTTCACCCATCCCTGTTTGCAGGCTTCTTGGATCAATCCCTTACACATTTATCTGCCATTTTTCATTAACTAAAAGTAAGTAAATTATATCTTACTGAAGTACTTGTGAGTTTAACCATATGGATCGGAGTAGTATATATCACTTAGTTTTTCCAATTTATATGCTTTATGCTCTTTTTGAATGAACTTTGTGATAGGAAAATCTTTTCAAGTCATACCTACTTCGTATATAGTCATCATTGACATTACTTTATGTCTATTTAGTATAACAAAAGTTCCCATTTCCCATAACAATGAGTTAATAACCAAAGGGTATGTGTTTGGGGATCGCTCTGACGGCAATCAGTGAGATTGGAGTAGTTAGAGTGGTGCAAGATTGAAAAGGAACAAATTGAATTGTGTCTCTGTTCAAACATACTTTCTCAACCTAATGAAGCACAAAGAGTCAACAACGCCTCCACTAAGGCTCGATCAACCTCCCACATGGAAGAGGTCAATAGATCATCTGAGCACAACCTTGGACATGACATGAGTTGAATAATGGGATATGTGAAAGAAAAATGGAGTGGAGTAAATACCCAATTTGGTCCCTCGACTATTAGAATTTCAATGCACCAATTTGGTCTTTGACTAATAAAGTTGCTCAATTTAGTTCTTAACTATGCAATTTTTACTTAAAATGGTCCATCGACTATTAGGATTTCACTACTTTGATCTTCGACTATCAAAGTTGTTTAATTTAGTCTCTAATTATGAATTTTTACTTAAAATGGCCCCTCGACTATTAGAATTATTTCATCACATTGTTAAATCAATGGGGAGATGGGTGGATGGGTGGGTGGGCATCAATTTTCATGTAACCGACATAATTGATAGTTGAGATACATTCCCACATAAGATTTACCCTCCTAGACTCCTAGTACAAAAATCCATTTTCAGCATAACTGTACAAAGCATAGGTCATTCCACTCTATTGAGCAATATTATGCCATTTTTACCTAAAATGATCCCTCAATTATTAGAATTCTTCTACCCCACTCTTCTTCAATCCTTTCTATTAGGATGTAATTCATTAACAATCTAGTATTCAAACAAATTACAAGTGAATCAAAATTTGTGCTTTAATCATAAAACAACAGACAGAAAAAGACCTGAACCACATTGTGGTTTACATAAAAAAATAAATAAATAAATAAAGCCATCTACAAGTCCGTGATGCATGTTTTTCATAAATCATTACCACTACTTGCTACTCTTCTTTCTACTTCCGTAGAGATATCTTTAATGATTTTCACCAAAATGGTAAATTCCACCAACGAATGTTGACTCAGATATACTGTAATTTGTGACTCTTAAATGCAGGTGAAATCCTATCTAGTTCCTATTTTGTTTTTAGAACAAATTAACCATTTGTACTTAGTACTGTATCACGAACAGAATAAATAATAAAAACAGTGCAGGAAAAATAAATAGAACCAGAATATGTTCACGCAGTTCAGAGAACTTCTCCTAAGTTTAACAGATTTCCATACAACAACTATGGCCTAATGTACTTCTTTTACCTTTCCTGGACCTATCAATAAGGCCTAATCTAGACAGCCATTTATAATAAATTGAGCCTGAAATAATTTAACAAACAGGGCCAATATTAAAAGCAGGGATATAGGCATTATCTTTTCTCTCTATTTTTCAACTTCGAAAAATCTCTGAATATTCATCACAATTTATACTTGATACCTTGAATTAATCTTGCATGAAGGTCTCCTTGAATCATGGAAAATCACCCACTCAAATCTTTACCTTGAAAAAGCTCATCACAAACTATCTTTGCTTGAATGAATATCAACCACATCTTTTGTCTTCATGAATTAAAAAAATCCCAGACACAATTAATTAAGGAACTAATAATACTAACTTAATTAGCCTAACAAATATATTGCCAATATATTCTATACAATATACTTTCACTTACAATATCTGATCTTGCTTTGAAGCTATTATGAGTCTAGGAGTGAAAGGTTCTTTTCGATTTAACTTGAGAGTGCTTATTGTTAGACTAGTCTTATTGCTTGGACGTCCTGCAAGCCCCATCCTTTCAGGGATAACACCTTAGCTTGCTGTTCTATGACTTCTATCAACTTATTGTAATGTAATTTTGTTGTTTGGTTCTCTGTACTAAGTGTATGTGATGACCCTCAAATGTACCATGAAAGGAAGTTTGGGGTTCTAGATTTCAATCCTAATTTGTTACACTTTGCACAATTGAAATCTAATCTAATTACACTTTATTTTTAATATTATAAAATATTATATTTTTAAAAATCGAGGGTAGGGAAAGTCGGTATGGGAAGAGAATTTAGGGGTGAGCATTTTTGTTCGAGTTATTCGAACTGGGCCGAACCAAATCGAACGGTTAAGTTTTGATTTATGATTAAAAATTGATTAATTGTATATTTTATAAATGAGAAAATTTCAATTTTGGTCACATAACTATAGGGGCTTTGTTAATTTCAGCACTTGAGTTTCAAAAGTATCAATTTAGTATCTTGACTATGCAATTTTTATCAATTTTGGTCACTCCGGCCAAATTTGACCGGAAAACCTTAATACACATTTAGTCTATAATCTGAGGGATAAAATGGTCTTTTGATCTTTTCTCCTAATTGGTGTTGACCCGGTGCTATATTTGGGGCATCGCCGTCGGCATCAAGCCGCGATTCAATGAATGCGTGCATTCCGCTAAGTACGACGAGGCCTGCAAGGTGTGGTGGGTCAAGACGGCCTCCCCTGACGGCGGAGAAGTCGAGTATATTTGCCAGTGGCTCGTCGTGGCCACCGGTGAGAATGCGGAGTCCGTCGTGCCTGAGATTGAGGGGCTGAAGGAATTCGGTGGCGAAGTGATCCACGTCTGCGATTATAAGTCCGGCGAGAATTTCCGCGGCAGGAAAGTTCTGGTCGTAGGCTGTCGGAATTCCGGCATGGAAATCTCCCTCGATCTTTGCAACCATGACGCTAAACCTTCCATGGTTTGCCGCAGTTCGGTAAGCAAGAAACCCATCAACTAAACGACGATGTTAATGCAAAATCATGGTTGAATTCTAATAAATTTTTCCTCTTTTTATTGTTCTTATTGTTCTTCAGGTTCATGTACTGCCTAATATGTAAGGCAAAGCAGAATTTTATTCTATAAGCTTTTTGTTGTCATTATTAAGGTTGAGAAATGAATTAAAATGGTTTCCTTGGGAGTTGTCATTATTTGGGGAGCTGGCAGAATTGCTTGGGAAGGTGAAGTTTCAGGCGGTCGTAGGTGCGTCTCTGCCATAACGACGCAATGCAGTCTGCTCTTTCGAGGATCACGAAGGGGACGCCGTGTTCTTTCAAGCAGGCGCCGACGGCGAGGCCCCAAATATAGCACCGGGTTAACACCAATTAGGAGAAAAGATCAAAAGACCATTTTATCCCTCAGATTATAGACTAAATGTTGTATTAAAGTTTTCCGGTCAAATTTGGCCGGCAATTTGACCGGAGTGATCAAAATTGATAAAAATTGCATAGTCAAGGTACTAAATTGATACTTTTGAAACTCAAGTGCTGAAATTAACAAAGCCCCTATAGTCATGTGACCAAAATTGAAATTTTCTCTTTTATAAATTGAATGATTTCGATTTAATTAATTTTGGACGTTGATCTTGACAAGATCAATATAACTCTTATCTCATTCACAACCGCACGGCAAATTATTGTGTGGACCATGGTCCACACAATTGTATGGATCATGAATATTAGGTACATTTTTAATATATTAAAAGTACATTATTTTTGTATTGAATGTACATTATTTTTGTATTGAATATATATTATATAAAATAATGTACCCTTAGTATATTACAAATGTACTTTTAGAAAATGTACCTTACGTACATAAATAATGTATCCTTAGTATATTAAAAATTTACTTTTTTATTTATAGTCCACACAATTGTGTGGACCATGGTCCATGCAATAATGATTGCAACCGCACCTGACACACACAACCGTACAGAAATCCATATATATATATATATATATATATATATATACTCTCACTCTTATTTGAATAAGATATACTTCTTTTACTGTGGAGGATCTCTGTCGAGTTTATTGACTCGCTTTTCTCTTCTTTCTTTCCAAGCAACTTCCTTTACTAGTCTAGGTATTTATGGCATCACGGAAGCTAATTCCTTAACTGCTTTTCTCTTCTTTCTTTTCAAGCAACTTCCTTTACTATTCTAGGTATTTATAGCATCACGAAAGCCAGATTCCTTAACTGCTTTGGCTCAACGTCAGTCCTATTATCCTTGTAGATCATGGCTCTACGTCAGCCCTATCTTTCCTTGTATGGATCTTGTACTCTTGTATAAATATCCCCACGGGATCACCATGTAACTCTCTGGCACTTGAGCGGTCGAAACCCTAGAGAAATAATACTACATTATTCTCTCAACTAGGCTAAGTCTTTCACTCATACAAACATTTTAAGTATTTTACGGTAGTGTTGGCCCGTCGAACGGCGCACCCGAACGCCGTAAAACCAACAGTAACTTTTTCCAGTAAACTTCTCGGTTGAGCCGAAATGTAAACTCTCGTATGTAACCGGAAGGTAAGTTTACTTCTTGGTCACACGACCGATGGCGCACTTCTTGGTCAGAGAGGTGCTTCTGGCACTTCTGGGAACTAAGAAGTACGCTTCACTTCTCGGTTAATGACAAACTGTTGAAATTTTTTTTGGAAATTAAGTTGGCTTAACTTAGCCTGCAATGCCAAATACAAAAATAATTAGCACATAATAGACAATCCCAAACATAAAGCCTCATCTTTTACCAAAATTACAAGTTCTTGTCATTTTGAAGTTTGTTTGTATTTTATATATGAATATTAATAAACTTAAATTTGAAAGCAAAATTTGTTACCAAGGTATGTAAAACAAATAAAAATGTTATTTTCAACAATAAAAATAATATTTAATGTGATACATAATGATTGATTGTCTATTAAATTTTTTGTATGATATATATATATATATATATATATATATATATATATATATATATATATATATATATATATATATATATATATATGAACATAAAAAGATACAAATAAAAAGTATATGAGTATTTATGAAAGTTATGAAACTTATTGTAAAATTTTATAAGGATAGAGGAAAGCTTTGTTTGTTTAGACAGAAGAAAAATGTTTGTAGAGAAAGTTTAAAATTTTGAGGTTGGACTGTGGGATTTTATCTATTATATTTGTAAGAAACAAAATCTATAGAATTCTAATTTTATAGAGTCTAAAAAATGAAAATAAACAAAAATGAAATAAATCGGAGTTTTTCCTAAACTGGTCCATCGATTATTTCTTAGTGTATATTAGGCATATAATAGGTAAACGAACGAGAATGTCCTCCATTTTAACACTAATTAGATGGAAAACCTAACGGAGGACTAATTGGGTGAGTTTTTGAAAATTGAGGGACCACATTTAGTGCAATTGAAAGTCAAAATACAAAATTGAGAATCAATAATAGTCGAGGGACTATTTTGGGAGAAAACTCTTCATAATTTCATAACTCTATATTCATAATTAAAGAACTCTATATTCACTCGTTGAGTTGTTTTCAATAATTTAAAAAAAAAAAAATTTAATGGCTGTGGAAACGGTGTCACTAACAGCACCGTTATTTTCACATGCGCAAACTGCATCATTTTGAACCAGGGTCAACCTTGCAAGGTGAACCCAGGTCCATGGCATAACTATTGGTTGTATTGTTGTCCGTGTCTCATTTTTTTTTAGGAATAAGGTTCAAATTGACCCCTGAATGTAACCTGAAAGTGCAATTATGTCACTGAACGAAAAAAAAAAGAAGAAGAAGAAGTGCAATTAGGTCACTAAACACCGTAAAACATGCAATTTGTCCTAAGTGACCTGTAGTGGCAGGTTACCAACAGGTAATTAGCTAAAAAAATCTTTTTTAAAAAAAAGAAAAAAGAAAAAAAAAAAAAGAAACAGGATCTCTTTCCGTTTCCTAATTGCAATTTTATTCTTTCTTTCCGTTTTTGTTGTATGATTGGATAGAATACCTCTTTTAAACAAATCACATCCTTCAATTGTGTGTAGTGTATAGATTTATTGCTGAATCCAAATCCTGTGGAAACAAATCCCTGCATTGTAACTCATTGCTGGCAATCTCCATTCTCTATTAATAATTAATTATTTATTAGGGAGAAGAATTAGTTAGTTATTAGAATTAATTAGTAAAATTGTTAAATATTAGGAATGGATCCTCAGGAGCATCGGTAGTAGGATATCATATCATAAATCATAATATATATATTTTCATGATCCAAGAAACACATGATCCGATGCAAGATTAGTTGCCTTTTCAAACATCTTACATTCTTAATTACTTTATTGCCGCCCATACTACGTTACTGATCTGTGACATTCTCTGATCTGCATTCTCACGAACCTTAAAATCTTTAATTATCACACGTGTGGGGATGGCTTCAAACACACCTATGCTTACTCTGTAATTTAAAAACTCAATCACAAAACTTAGCCTGAAATTATTGAGTTGACTTGATAAGATTGTGTTTGGTAAATAGTTGTTAGCTGATTGGATTAGTGATTTTGACTAGTTAATAGCATTGGCTAATTGTATAAAAGTGTTTGGTAAATTAGATGTTCGCTTAGAGTAGCCATAATAGTGATTTTTGAAGAGTTTTTGTAAGTGTGATTAAGAAAGAGAATATGGAAAGGGAAAAAAATAAAGCAAAACTGATATAAATATAAATATATATATATATATATATATATAAATAGACTGTAATGCTGTGCGCGCAGGTGATGATTTCCAATAGCTTTGCACTGTTCCAAAAACCATTGTTTGCAGGGGCAAAAGCCATTCTCTCTCCTTCTTCTCTTCCCTCTACATCACCTTACACTATTTCAAAAACCCCAAAGAAACCTCTAATATAGATGCTCTTATTACATACAAAATGACTTTCCCAAAAAGCTGAACGAAAAAGTTACTTTGAGCAGCGTTTTGAATTTTATCATTTTGGAGCAATATATAAGTTGTTACAAAAAGTTAATTACTCAAATTAAACACTCATATTGATTGTTTAACCAAGTCAAACAGTTCATAGTGGTCAAATAAACCAAAATTAGCTGATGGGCTAACTATTTTACCAAACAGGACAAAAAAAATTTTAAGATTAAGATAAAAATCATTTTGCTCGATAACCCAAACAAATTAATCCAAAATTTAGTGGACTAGCTCGCTAGCTCGATAGTCCAAACCACTTAAGGCTACTCAGTATTTCACAAGTAATGTAAACAAAATATATATGAAGCTTGTACGTAAACTTATCTTTAGTATTTTTTTTATTTAATTTTTATTAAAAATTTAATCAATATATTAAACAATTTATTACAAAATAAAATATTTTTATAAATATAAATAATGGAAAATATAAAAAATATTATTATATATAATTATTACGTTATAGTGTGAATATATTAAGTATTTTTAGTTGGAATTTAGAAATTAAGGTCTAGTTGCCTTTTAAATTGACTCGGTACTCAAAAACGCTTGTAAAGTTTAACTATTACTCGAAAAAAAAAATTTTACTCAATATTTAAACTTTCGACTTAAGTCTAACTCGATCAAGATTCAAATTAGTGACTTTATAATTGTATTAACAGTAGACCATGCACATCTAAATTTACAGTTAAATTAACTGTACGCTTTACTAATTGTTCTAAATTGTGAGCTTGTTTAATTGTAATGTTTACTTGGCGAAGAATAGAGACAACAATACTCAACTTCCTCAACTTTTGGTGATTTCAATATGACATAAAAAATTATTCCAAGAAGGCAAGAACACGTACGTTAGTTCAATTCGAATATTTCCCTTCAATAGTACGGCTAATATTTTCACCTCCAAGGAATATACTCAATATAAACAAACCATAACTTGTAACCTGCACCCTACGTCCCTACATACTCACAAGATTTTGAGGTAACAACTTTTAATTCAAAATGGTTAAAGATTCAAATTTCATGAGAGAAATATTTGTCATTATGTAATTTTATTCTTAATTTAATCAAATAATTGGTCTCGTTTA